AACTCATTTTGTAGACCAGATTGGCCTTGAACTCAGATGTCTACCTGCCTCTGCCTCCCAAGTACTGGGACTAAAGGGATGTGTACCACCCAACTCACATTTTCATTTTTAACAAGATTTTATTTTTAAATGTATGTTTTGCAGCCAGGTGTTGGTGGTGCATGCCTTTAATCCAAGCACTCGGGAGGCAGAGACAGGTGGATCTCTGTGAGTTCGAGGCCAGCCTGGTCTACAGAACGAGTTCCAGGACAGCCCCAAAACAATACTGAGAAACCCTGTCATGAAAAAACAAATAAAATGTATGTTTTGCCTGAATATAAGCCATGTTTAACCCTCACTTTCTCAAAAAATCTTGCAGGGTTTTTTTTTTCTTATGCGAGGGTGTTTAATCACACCTCTTTCAAATATCACATTACACAATAACAAGAAAAGTGATAGGAAATTATATAAAAATAAATCTATACTTACATGGAAAGAGTGGAGATCCAGATCTAACATATTTTTCAAAAAACAACAACAACAACAACAAAACTCTATAGAATAAAGGGAAAGCCTCTCGGGAGGCAGAGGCAGGCAGATCTCTGTGAGTTCGAGACCAGCCTGGACTACCAAGTGAGTTCCAGGACAGCCTCCAAAGCCACAGAGAAACCCTGTCTCGAAAAAACCAAAAAAAAAAAAAAAAAAAAAAAAAAAAGAATAAAGGGAAAGCCTAAGGAAGGAACACAATTTGACCAGTGCTGTTTGGCTTGACTTCTAAATATGGGGGAAAATAAGTCACAATTTGCACTACCTTCTAAAATAACAAGGACATGGAGGGTTTTCCCGTTTGTGTATGTAGAGGTCAGCATTGAGTATATTTTTCAATCCCACTCTCCATCTTTTGAGGCAAGTCTCTCACTGAATCTGAGGCTCACTATTTTAGTTATGCTTGCTGACCATCAAGACCCAGGGAACTACCTGTCTGCTTCCCCAGTTCTGGGAGTACAGGCAGCTCTTTTGGTGGGCACCAGGGTCCTCAAGATCCTGAACCCAGGTCCTCAAGCTTGCATGACATATACTTCACCAACTCAACTATATCTCTAGTTTTGTTTTTTTCATCTTTTTTAGTTTAAAATATAAATCCACCGGGCAGCTGTGGCACACGCCTTTAGTCTCAGCACTTGGAAGGCAGGGGCAGGCAGATCTCTCTGAGTTTGCACCAGCCTGGTATACACATCGAGTTCCAGGACATCCAGATCTGTTACACAGAGAAACCCTGTCTCAAAAACGCAATAAATAACTCCTATGAAACTGGCCCAAAAAAAGAAAATACTGAGAACAGCTTTTGTGCACTCCACTTTGAAGCACTCCCTTCCAAAAAAAACTAAAAATCCAATCTGAAAAAGGAAAAGAGCGACAGAATCAAGAGAGGAAGAAAATTCATACATAGGAAAAGTAGAGAATACAGAACGCGAGGCCCACCACATCGTGAGAAAGATACACACGTTCAAAGGCCCAGTGTGAGCGGCCCCTGGTTCTGGTAGACGCCGGCTTTGTTCACACCCTGCTTGATGGTGAGGCATCCTGAGAGAGGAAGTGGGAAAGCCTGCGGCGTTCTAGAAAGCTTGTGAGGTCCTGCCTGCTGGGGCTCGGAGTTCTTCAGCTCTGGCTCTTCGCCCCAAGCACGGCTCATTCAATTTCTCGCCCCCGCGACTTCCGCGTGGGGCCAAGACCACCCAGGCACCCGGGACACCCCCAGGCATCTCCTGGATGCTGGGGTCATGATGCCGCTGCCGGCTCGCGTCCTACTCTGCACTTCCCTGCTGTGTTTCAGAAGGTTGTGAGCCACAGTTTGTTCTTTTATAAGCAGAGGATGTCGGGCAGTTCCCAGCATCTTTGTGATTATTCTTTTCCAGTAGCAATGAGGACAAAGTCCTCAGCCCAGAGGAGCTTTTATCCTAAAAGTCGGGGAGGCAGAGATAGGGGTCAGGAGACAGAATCAACACAAACACTTGATTTCAAGCCAAGGTTGTAAAGAAAACAAAGCTAGATTGTGCGAGGTGGGGGAGGCAGATAAAAGACCCGGAGAGAAACCAGCAGTGAAAAGGAAGCTTCTTGTCAGGAGACGATGCCTTGTCTTCCTCAGATCTGAGAGAGAAGGTAATCTTTATTTTTGGTTTAACGCAAGAGGGGCTGGAGGAGAACCCTGGGTGTTGACCTGTAATCCCAGTACACAGGAGGTGGATAGATGCCCTCCATGACACAAGGAGTTCAAGGCTAGTCTGAGATACAAAAGACCCTGTCTCAAAAGAACAAAAAGAAAAAAATAATAAAATTTAAAACATTAAATTAGAAATAAGAATTTAGTTCTTTTCAATTTTGGGGTCACCACCTCCTTTCTTTTTGTACCTTTGTCCATCTGTCACCCCATTTTTTCAGATTTTTTAATTTAAATTAGAAACAAGTTTGTCTTACATGTCAATCCCAGTTCACTCTCCCTCCCCTCCTCCCTTGCCCCCCACCAATCCCCTATCCCATCCCCTTTCTGCTCCCCAGGGAGGGTGAGGTCTTCCATGGGGGATCTGTCATATTTGGAGGGGGGGTCTAGGCCCTCCCCCGTGTGTCTAGGCTGAGGGAGTATCCCTCTATATGGAATGGGCTCCTAAAGTCCATTTGTGTCGTGTACTAGGGATAAATACTGATCCACTAGCCCCATAGATTGCCGAGGCCTCCCAACTGACACCCACCATCAGGGGGTCTGGGTTGGTCCTATGCTGGTTTCCCAGTGGCCTCAAACTCAGTATATGCAACTACAACCCGCTCCTTCATCCTTTTTAATTAGGGCAGATATGCAACTCCCTACTCCATCTTACCACTAAAGAGGGGCGATCCACAGACAGCAGCAGGTCTAGGGGCTGTGGAAGAACAGGGTTAGGTGATCGGTCAGGACAAAAAACGACTTTTTTTTTTTGGTTTTTACCAGACAGGGTTTCTTTGTATTGTTTTGGAGGCTGTCCGTCCAGCTGGCCTCGAACTCACAAAGATCTGCCTGCCTCTGCCTCCCGAGTGCTGGGATTAAAGGCGTGCGGGCTGGAGAGATGGCTCAGTGGTTAAGAGCACTGACTGTTCTTCCAGAGGTCCTGAGTTTAATTCCCAGCAACCGCATGGTGGCTCGTAACCACCTTGAATGAGATCTGGTGCCCTCTGCTGGCTGTATTTATACACAATACATAAATAAAAAATTTCTTTTAAAGACCATCTTTAAACATTGTGTATATGTATTGTGAACGTGTATGTGGGTGTGCTTGCCTGTACAAGTGTGTAGAGGCCACTCTATCACTCTCCACCTTATTTGCTTTAACTTTTTTTTTTTTGGTGTTCTTTTCGACACAGTGTTTCTATGTAGCTTTAGAGGCTGTCCTGGAACTCGCTCTGTAGACCAAGCTGCTGGCCCCGAACTCACAGAGATCCGCCTGTCTGCCTCCCGTGTGCTGGGACTAAAGGCTTGCGTCACCACCGTCCTTATTCTTACTGAGCCGGGAGCTCTACCTTTCAACTGCATTAGCTGGCAAGCACACCCACCCTAGTGCTGCAGTTACGGGCCTGTGCCACTATGGGTGGGCCAGCTTTACAACAAGTCAGGTCCTCAGGCTTGCACAGCAAACACTTTACACATTGCCTCGAGACTCTTCTTTTTTTTTTTTTTTGGTTTTTTCGAGACAGGGTTTCTCTGTGGCTTTGGAGGCTGTCCTGGAAGGGACTCTTCTTTTAAACATTATCTGCTGTTTCAAAAAGCATCACAGGACAGCACTCGGGAGGCAGAGGCAGGTGGATCTCTGTGAGTTCGAGACCAGCCTGGACTACCAAGCGAGTTCCAGGACAGCCTCCAAAGCCACAGAGAAACCCTGTCTCGAAAAACAAAAAAACAAAACAACAACAAAAAAAAGCATCACAGGAAATACGTAATCACTGAGCCACGTACATGTAACGGGCTTTTGAAATTTTTATTTTTCGGGTGCTGGGGATGGACTGAGGAATCCGCAACCTGTCCACCGCTGAGCAACGTACTTCCCCCTGTTGGTTTTATTGAGACAAGGTCTCAAACAGCTCAGGCTGGCCTAATCCACTATGTACCCTTGAACTTTTTTTAAGACTTATTTATTGCAGCCGGGTGTTGGTGGTGCACGCCTTTAATCCCAGCACTCGGGAGGCAGAGGCAGGCGGATCTCTGTGAGTTCGAGACCAGCCTGGACTACCAAGCGAGTTCCAGGACAGCCTCCAAAGCCACAGAGAAACCCTGTCTCGAAAAACCAAAAAAAAAAAAAAAAAAAAAAAAAGACTTATTTATTGCATATACAGTGTTCTGCCTACATGCCAGAAGAGGGCACCAGATTGAATTGTAGATGATTGTGAGCCACCATGTAGTTGCTGGGAATTGAACTCAGGACTTCTGGAAGAACAGTCAGTGCTCTTAACCACTGAGCCGTCTCTCCAGCCCGTACCCTCGAACTTTTGATCTTCCTATAATCAGAGGCAGGTGCCACAGTGTCCAGCTTTATTTATTTTCTGAGGCAGAATCTCACTTTGTAGTCCAAACTCGTCTGGAACTCGCGGCGCTCCTCCAGCATCAGCTTCCCCACGCACCGACCTCGACATTTGAGAGTTAGGAATATAGATAGGACTAGCCGTTGGGGACGCCAATTAGGCAGGTACGCCTGCTCATGCTTCCGATGGAAACCCGTGACCACCCTCCGGTAGTTCCGGAAACCGAGGTTCGCTGCGGGTAGCAGGGTAGCGGCGCCCGGGCACTGCGCAGGCGCTGACTGCCACCTGGCTCCCGCGGGCGATTCCATTCTACACTCTGGGCAAAGCCACCGGATAGACGGACACTCTCCCCACGCTCCCTGACAACGCGCATGGGCGAGCCCGGACCCACCCCAGGCGCAACTGCCGCGCCTTCCGGTTCCGATGACAGCGGCGCCGGAAGCCGGCTGGGCTGCAGGACTAGGTGACAGCCTGGGGGCTCCGGGTCCGGGGTGCGGGGCGCCCCGACCAAAGCCCGGAGCAGTCGTCTGCCACACCCTCCAAGGGCTGGTGGAGTCGCCACGATTCGGACGTCCCATCTTGGTGCACCTGACTGGGTCAGAGGTAACCGGCTGCAGACGGTGGAGTCCTGGCAGCGCACTGCAGGGGAGGTCTCTGGAAGCATGAGTAGGAGTTTGCCAATCTTTAGCACATAATGCGGGTGAAGTCCGAGTCGTGGCAGGGTAGATGGTGGGCTTTCCTGTGCTTTCAGACTTAGGTGAAGACGTTAGGATTTGAAACTTTTCTAATATTATTAGAGATATGATTTGTTTGAGGGTAAAGTACAGGGCATTAGATGTTGCTGTCTGAAAAGATGACACTTGTGTCGAGACCTAGATAAGGAGCCAGCTATGGCAGGATGTGTTTCAGGCAGAGGGTGCAGGCAGAAATAAACTGGATGTACCCTGGACCAGAAAGGCCAGTGGTGGTAGAGTATGGGAAGTGATGGAGAGCGTGACTAGAAGGAGCTTGTTTGGATAAAGCATTTGTTTGTTTGTTTTTGTTGTTCTTGTCTGTTGAGACAAGGTCTCTGATAGCCCAGGATGGCATGGAGCTTCCTAAGTAGACCAGGCTGGCCACAAACTCACAAAGGTTCACCTGCTTCTGCCTCCTCAAGTGCTGTGTTACTATGGTCATGCACCACCACACCCAATGTCAGATTTATTTGTATATTTTGTTTGTTTGTTTTGTTTTGTTTTGGTTTTCAAGACAGGGTTTCTCTGTGTAGCCCTAGCTGTCCTGAAACTAGCTCTGTAGACCAGGCTGGCCTCAAACTCACAGAAGTCTGCCTGCCTCTGCCTCCTGAGTCCTGGGATTAAAAAGCATGTGCCCTACCATCGGGCCTTTATTTATTTACTGTCTGTCTGTCTGTCTGTCTGTCTGTCTGTCTGTCTATTTTGAGACAGGAGTTGTTCTCTACTTAGGCTAAGCTGTCCTAGAAGTCACTGTAGACTAAGCTGGCCTGGGACTCTTAAGGAGCTATCTGCCTCTCCCTCCCAAGTTCTAGAATTAAAAGTGTAAGCCACTACACCCAACAGATTGTTTTAATTTTTTTATTTTTATGGGTATTTTTGCACCACATGAGTGTGTCTATGCACCACATGAATGCATCGTCAGAAGAGACCTTCAGGGCTTCTAGAACTGGCGTTACAAGGAGGTTGTTGGCTATCACATGGGTGCTGGGAACTGAACTTGGGTCCTCTGCAAGAGCAATAGGTGCCCCGAAACAGTGAGCATCTCTCCAGCCCGTGTAGTATGAACTTTTAACGTTTCCTTCGTATCTCTTTCTGCCCACTGGGAGCTTTTGGCTCATGCCTGCTTAGCCAAAGGCTGGAAATGGAGGTACTGTTTAATCAGTTAGGGCAAACTCAGGCCTGTGGTTGCCCAGGCCCAGGAGAGGATGAAACCCGTCTCCAGGCTTTGCTCAGCTGGTCATCCAGTGCGGGGGAAACACATATGAAGAGGCAGTCGGAAGGATTCAGATCTTGTGGGACCGACAGATCTTGTGGGACCGACACATCAGGTTTGCCATACAGAAAAGGTGCTGGACTAGGCAGCTGGTGAGTAGAAGCCTCAGTTGGATCCCTAGCATTTGCAGTGTAGAAAGGTGGCTGTAACCAGGGTGGCAGTACATGCTTTTAATTCAGCAGGTGTGGCAAGCACTTTACCAATGAAGCCATCTTCTCAGCCCCAGTTCTCAGCTTTTTATTTTTTTTTAAGATTTATTTATTGAGTATGCAGTGTTCTGGCATGTATACCTACATGTCAGAAGAGGGCACCAAGTCTCATGATAGATAGTAGTGAGCCACCATGTGGGTGCTGGGAATTGAACTCAGATCCTCTTGAAGAGCAGCCTGTGCTCTTAACCTCTGAGCCATCTCTCCAGCCAACCCCCCCCGCCCCCCCCCACTTTTCTTTTTTTGGCCGTCTTCCCCAGCTGGTGGTTTGCATTCGCTCCAGTTTAACTTCCCGTTTGTTGTCATAACTGATGGACCCTGTGAGTTCATCCCAGCCATACACACGTAGGCCCGGCTGTCCTTTCCTGCTAGGCTAGCAGCCTGCTTTGCTGGTCTGTTGTGCAAATTATTTAAGGCGAGGGCCTCAGCCTAGAGCCAGATAGCAGGCTTCCTTCTGTTCCTACTCCTCCACTTCCCAGCTGTGTGGCCTTGGGTGTTTATTTTATCTTTCCCTGTCTCATTTTCTCAGCTGCAAAGTGGGTCTAATAACCATACCTACCTCATAGTGTGAGAATTAAGTGAATGAGTTAATGGGTGAAGTCATTGGAGCAGAGCCTAGCACATAACGAGCCTCTGGGGAATGTTACTTATTACCAAGCAAAATAATTATATCATTTTAAATGGGAGTCCCTGTTATATTTTACCCTTAATATCTTATAACTGTTGAGTCTGGTTTGGGGGTGTAACATCTCCGGACACTATGATTACAGATTTTAGTGTGTACAATAACATCAGCCAAGGCCCAGCACTTTCCTGTCATTTGTCCTCTATCTGGGAAGGAGCTAGTGGCTGTAAGTGGAGATGAGATGGTAAAGCCGAGATGGGTCGTCCTTGCGGGACTAGGAGAGTGGAGGAAATGGGAAGATCCCAGGGTCACCATGGACACTGGCTTCTTGTGCTGCCATTCTTTTGGGAGAGTGAATATCTGGCTACATTGACCCTTTTAGAAGGACACATAACTCAGTCCTCTTATTTCTAGTCCTCTGTGTGACTGCAGAAGATCTACTCTGTTGCTACTTGAAAGGGGGGGGGGACAGAAGCCAGGTGGATGATGCATGCCTTTAATCCCAGCACTCAGGAGACAGAGGCAGGCGGATCTCTGTGAGTTTGAGGCCGCCTGGTCCACTGAGTGAGTTCCAGAACAGCCAGGGCTACTCAGAGAAACTCTTTGTCTTGAGAAGAAAGAAAGAAAGAAAGAAAGAAAGAAAGAAAGAAAGAAAGAAAGAAAGAAAGAGAAGAAAGAAAGAGAAGAAAGGAGGGGGAGCAATGTAGAGAGGGTCAGGAGGAGGCCACGGTGAGAAGGAGGTGCATTAAGCTGTCAACTGGACTGAGGCACTGGCTCAGTGTTGCTTGCTATACAGCACAAGGACCTGGGTTTGAATTCCCAGAACCCATGTAAAGCCAGGCATGGTAGAGGATAATCCCCAGCATTCCATTTCCATGGTGAGATGGGAGGCAGAACCGGCACTAAAACCCTTCGAGGCAGCTAGCCTGGATTACTCATCGGTGAACAGCACAGAAATCCTGTTTCTAATGAAGTAGAAGGTGAGGACGGACACAGGGTTGTCCTGACCTCCATGCCCACACTCTACTATGCACATTTGTGCCTGTACTCCAGAACGTGCATACACATCACACATAAACCCCTTCCTCCCTCCTTCCCTCTCCATGTATAATTGAGCAAGCATCTAGTGTGGTAGGGAGGCAGGCCCTCAGCGATCATCACTCAGCGTTGAGAACCAAGAGTGAGCGTAGCCAGCCAAGTATGTGAGGCTGGGGCCAGCTGCCTGTGACTACTGGGATTAGGCTGCAGGGCTCAACCATGGCAAGGCCACACTGTGTTCCACGCCTGGAGCTGTGAGAGCAAGAGTTCTAGCTGTCCAGACTGGAGCTGTCAGTAGGCAAGCAGTGGGGAGGCCCTTCCGCCTTGCACAGTTGGCGGTTAACTATTCCTGAAGCTGTACTTGGCATTAACAGCCATCCAAGGACTACCTTCATGGCTTATTTCCCTACAGTACATGAAAAACCAGTTCCACTGACTGGAAGAGGTAGCCATAGTGAATATATGAATTGGAAGCAATGTGAGCCTAGGTTGTTTTGCCATATAGCCTGCCGAGGCTCTGCTGAGACCCAGGCTTCTGATTAAAAAGGAACTGAGGCCGAGCATTGGTGGCGCACACCTTTAACCCCAGCACTTGGGAAGCAGAGGCAGGCGGATCTATGTGAGTTCGATGCCAGCCTAGTCTATTAAGGAGTTCCAGGACAACCTCCAAAGCAATACAAAGAAACCCTGTCTTGAGAGAGAAAAAAAAAAAGAGGAACCAAGGGTTTGTCAGAGGTTGTTTCTGAAGTGTTTGCCCCTTTGAACTTGAGTTTGGCATCCAAAATCCAGTAAAAACTGCCAGTTGTTGGGGCTGAAGAGATGGCTCAGCAGTTATAAAGAGCACTGGCTGCATTTCTAGAAGGCCCAGGTTCAATTTCCCCGGCATCCTCAAGGTAGCTCATTAACTATCTGTAAGGGGATCTAGTGCCCTCTTTTGGCTCCTGCAGACACTGCATATACGTGGTACACGTGTTTTTCTGTTGGTTTAGTGATGCACCTGAATCTACTGATATTTTAGCTATCCTGCAGTCAGCACCCCACTGTTCAGATTGCTGCCTGGGGGAATTTCTGTCCCATTGGTACCAGCTCAGTCACCAAATGTAGGTTTTAACTAAGTCTCTGTAGTGCTGTTGACGAATGAAGACTGGGGAGTCAAATGTTGGGGTGAAAACCTGCTAGATCAGACAAGCCAGAAGCAACTACCTGACCTTCCTTTGTGGCAGGAGACTTTTTTTTTGGTTTTTCAAGACAGGGTTTCTCTGTGGCTTTGGAGGCTGTCCTAGAACTAGCTCTTGTAGACCAGGCTGGCCTCGAACTCACAGAGATCCGCCTGCCTCTGCCTCCAGAGTGCTGGGATTAAAGGCGTGCGCCACCAACGCCCGGCCTCCCTACTCCTTCTTGTGAGTCTCTCTCTATCCGTATTCCTGACTCCTCTGTCCTCTCTAGGACTAGTTCCTATCAACTAGTCACTGTCTCTGTCCCCTGATCCAAGGTTAATTTTATTAGCACAGTTTTGTACAAGTTTCACAGTGTGATCAAATATCCCGAAATGTACATGTATGTACACGAAGCAAAACACCCACACACATAAAATAATAATCCCAGCACAAAGCACTCAGGAGACAGAGGCAGGTGGAATCTCTGTGAGTTCCAGGCCACCCTGGCCTATAAAGCCAGGAGTTCAAGAAACCCTGTCTTGGGGTATGGGGTGGGCAGGACAAAGATAACAGGGCAAAAAGTCTAAGACAGTAATTTTCTTTTTTTTAGACAGGGTTTCTCTGTGTAGCAGTCCTAGCTGTCCTGGAACTTGATGTGTAGACCAGGCTGGCCTCGGGCTCCAGCCTTCATCGTGCAGTGGACACCTCAGTGAGGATGGCTGGGAAGCACTTTGTTTAGCAGGGGCCTGATGTATTATTCAGGAAGGGTGAGAGGGACCTGAAGAAATGCTGTGGGAGTCCCACACACACATTGGCCTGACCCAGTTGACTTCACTAGGCAGAGGCCATCATGGAGCAGTGTGCATGTGTGGAGAGGGAGCTCGACAAAGTCCTGCACAAGTTCCTGACCTATGGGCAGCACTGCGAACAGAGCCTGGAGGAGTTGCTGCACTATGTGGGCCAGCTGAGGGCTGAGTTGGCCAGTGCAGGTGGGTGACAATCCCTAGGGATCATGTAGCCCTAGGCTGCTGACTGGGTGGTAGAGTCTTGGACACGCATCTCTAGGCTTCCTTGAAGGTGGTAAAGGAAACTGTTCAGAAAACCTAACAGAAATATCAATTTGCCTGAAATAGTAAGCATTGCCATTTTGTTTTCAGCTAACTTTTCTTTTATTTCAGGGGAGGGGTTCCTAGGGTTTATTACTTTAGTTCTTTATTTAGTATGAATAGTGTTCCACCTGTATGTATGCCTGCAGGCCAGAAGAGGGCACCAGATCTCATTACAGATGGTTGTGAGCCACCACGTGGTTGCTGGGAATTGAACTCAGAACCTCTGGAAGAACAGTCAGTGCTCTTAACCTCTGAGCCATCTCTCCAGCCCCAGGGTTTATTTCTATTGTAGCGTTTATCAGTGCCTTATACCTTTTAAAAAATATTTTATTCATTTTGCCTTTTTTTTTTTTTTTTTTTTGGTTTTTTCGAGACAGAGTTTCTCTATATAGCCCTGGCTGTCCTAGAACTCACTCTGTAGACCAGGCTGGCCTGGAACTCACAGAGATCCACTTCCACCTGCCTCTGCCCCCCGGTTGCTGGGATTAAAGGTATGCAGCACCACCACCACCGCCCAACTACCTCATACCTTCTATGGCTGACTAATGTCCTATTGTGTGCATGTATGGTATTCTGTACCCATTAGTGGATGGACACTGGGTTGTTTCTATCTATCTCTTGGCTGTCTTGAAGAATGCTAGGAAGAGTTCGCACATGTGGCTTTGTGTGGACTCATCTCCATTTCTCTTAGAAGTGGAGTTGCTGAGTTCAGGGTAATTCTGAGTTTAACCTGATGGTTCACAGGAAGCCTACAGTGAAGGTAATACACAAAATAATGCAGCACCCAGGAGGCAAGTCAGCATTCACAGCACCCTAGAATTTTACAGCTCAGAAAATAAAGTCACCCAGGTTCTGGCTTGTGGGCTGGAGAGGTGGTTCAGCAAGTAAATGGCTTCTACTACCAAGCCTGATGACCTGAGTTTAATCCCTGGGACCCGCATGGTGGAAGAAGAGAACCCACTCATGAAAGTTGTCTCCAGACCTCCAGGATACATCATGGCACATATGTGAATGTTTTCCCACTCCACCCCATGCAACTAAATTAAATTTTTTGTTTTTTGTTTTTTTGAGACAGGGTTTCTCTGTAGCTTTGGAGCCTGTCCTGGAACTCACTTTGTAGACCAGGCTAGCCTTGAACTCATAGAGATCCGCCTGTCTCTGCCTCCCGAGTGCTGGGATTAAAGGTGTGCACCACCAACACCTGGCCTTTTTTTTTTTTTTTTTTTTTGATACAGGATTTCTCTTTAGCTTTAGCTTTGGGAGTATGTCCTGGAACTCGCTCAATAGACCAGGCTGGCCTCAAACTCGCAGAGATCCTCCTGCCTCTGCCTACCGACTACTGGGGTTAAAGGCATGTGCCACCACTGCCCGGCTTAATCCCAGAACTCTCAAATCAGAGGCAGGAGGATCTCTGAGTTAGAGGCCAGCTTGGGCTATATATAATAAGTTCAGGACAGTCAGAGGTACATAGTGAGATCCAAAAAAAAAAAGTAGCTGACCACAGACTGGAAGTAGGTGTTTAACTCTGGCAGGCAAGGCTGTCTTCTGGGCTACACACTGGCGTGTAGGAGGAAGCGGTCTGCGGCAAAGCAGGTGCTTAGGATGCCTCCTGACCCAGTCTGCTGTCTCCACAGCTCTCCAGGGGACGCCTCTCTCAGCCACCCTCTCCCTTGTAATGTCCCAGTGCTGTCGGAAGATCAAAGACACAGTCCAAAAACTGGCTTCAGACCATAAGGACATTCATAGCAGTGTCTCCCGAGTGGGCAAAGCCATTGACAGGGTGAGTATGTGGGTGAGCCAGGGCCTAGGGGTGGGAACACTCCTGAGCTAATGTGTGCTAGCTTGGCAGGAACCTAAGCGTAAGGGCCTGAGTCTCAGATCCGTCTCTTCTCTGTCAGAACTTTGACTCTGAGATTTGCGGCGTGGTCTCGGATGCGGTGTGGGACTCACGTGAGAAGCAGCAGCAGATCCTGCAGATGGCCATTGTGGAGCACTTGTACCAGCAGGGCATGCTCAGCGTAGCTGAAGAGCTGTGCCAGGTAATGCTGGCCTTGGGAGCACAAGGGCATTTATCTCTCCTGCTGTTTGAGATGGTCCTGCTTATGTAACTCATCCTGGCCTCATTAGCTACCCTCCTGCCTCAGTCTCCTAAACCCTGGGATTATGAGTGTGCACACCACCATACTTAGCCAATTTCATCATCTGTTAGTTTTCTATCCCATCCCTGATATTCTTGACTATTTTTGTTTTGTTGTTGAGAAATGCCTGGAACTCACTATGTAGGCCAGGCTGGCCTCAAACTCAAGAGATCCTTTTGCTTCTCAACGTGCTAATACTACACCCTGTTTCTTGTGCTTCTGAGCTAAGGTCTGTCTACATAGTGAAGCCTGGCCTCTAACTGGTCCTTATTCCCTTTTCTTTCATTGAGGGCTGGGATTGCAGGTGTGTATGGCTCTCCCATAGGCCTAGTCACTGACATTATTTTAGAAAGGAAGTTGGTCCCCCTATCTACCACACAATAGGAGGTAGATCTAAGTATATCTGATAAAAAAGTTACTGATTTCTAGTTAGAGTTGGTTGCCTGCCAGAGCACGGAGCCAAGACTTGCTCTCCTTTTAATAAAGGGGATTAAACAAAATGGCATAGCACTAATTGGGTGTTAAATATACTGGGAACAGAAGGAGATTCTGCCTTAATGTAATTAGGTAGATTAAAAGTAATTTTTCACTATGCCACTCAGTGCCAGGCCTGGGACTTGCAGTAGAGGGAAAGGGTTCTTCACTGTGGCTGACCAATGATGGTGCTAACCTTGGCAAACCGACACCGAACAGGGCTCATGCTACTGGCAGATCACAACACCTCTGGCAAACACTGCCTTTCTGCAGCCAACCTTTGGCAGAATTTCGGGGTCACTACCTTCCATCTTCCCTAGGAATCGACACTGAATGTGGACCTGGACTTCAAGCAGCCCTTCTTGGAATTGAATCGGATCTTAGAAGCTCTACATGAGCAAGACCTGGGACCTGCACTGGAGTAAGGATGCCCACAGTGGGGCTTGCCTGTGGTATGCCTAATTCCAGCCCTGCCTTAGGGATCCACACTGTCCTTTAGGGCCCTCTGGAGCCACCACCCACTGCACCCACACTGTCCTCTCTCCCCAGATGGGCTGTCTCCCATCGGCAGCGCCTGCTGGAGCTCAACAGCTCACTGGAGTTCAAGCTGCACCGGCTGCACTTTATCCGGCTCCTAGCCGGTGGCCCCGAGAAGCAGCTGGAGGCCCTCAGCTATGCCCGGCACTTCCAGCCCTTTGCTCGGCTGCACCAGAGAGGTAAGTGCCCAAGGTGCTGGGAGTAAGGGTTAGGCTCCAGCCAATGTCTGGACATGTCAGGTAGCCTGTCTTTGTACCCACAAACAGTTCTGTTTACCAGAAAGATGGCTCCCCACAATTCAGAAACTTTTATTTGGTTTTTTGAGACAGGGTTTCCCTGTATTGTTTTGGAGGCTGTCCTGGAACTCACTCTGTAGGCCAGGTTGGCCTCATACTCACAGAAATCCGCCTGCCTCTGCCTCCCGAGTGCTGGGATTAAAGGTGTGCGCCACCAATGACCCTCTTTGCCTCTAAAGTGAAGTCCAAACTAGAGGCAGAGCTGAGGCAGGAAGGCTGCTTCAGTCTCAGTTTAGGCTGGCATGGCAACGGCAAGACCTCAACTCAAGAATTAAAAGACCACAAGATAGAAATAAAAGATTAAGAAATAAAAGTCATCGGTCATTAGTGGTGCACACCTTTAATCCTAAAACTTAGGAGGCAGAGAAAGGGGATCTCTGTGAGTTCGAGGCCAGCTAGGTCTACAGAGTAAGTTTCAGGACAGCCAGTACTACACAGAAAGATGCCCTGTCTCAAAAAAAACCAACCAAACCAAAAAAAAAAAAAAATCGCAAAACCAAAGCAGTGATTTTATTTTTTGTGGTACTGGGGATGGAATCAGACTTTATCAATACTGTGTTACTACTGACAACTATTTTACCACTGAGCCACTCCCCCCCCATAAACAAACAGCAGTTTCAGCTCCTCCTGCCTCCTGCAAGCTTCAAACCTGGATTTGCTGTTAAAAGGGGAAGTTGTACATAGTGGTGCATGCCTTTAATCCCAGGACATGGGATGCAGCTTGAAATCAGCCTTGTCTACATAGAGACCTGACTCCAAAACAGCAGGGGAGGATTAGAGTTGGTGAGTCAGGACATTCTCTGTCAAGCAGACTTGCTAGTGATGTAATCAGAAAGCTGGGGACAGCCTCACCATCCTACCTGCCTCCATGTTGGCAGCAGGATGTAGAGGCCAATGCTCTGCATGTTAAGAGGGCTTTGCAGCCCTGTGACTCCTCGGAGTAAGGCCCAGAGCCTCTGCCTTCCCTGAACTGCCATCCCGTTTTCTTTACAGAGATCCAGGTGATGATGGGCAGTCTAGTGTACCTGCGGTTAGGCTTGGAGAAGTCACCCTACTGCCACCTCTTAGACAGCAGCCACTGGGCGGAGATCTGTGAGACCTTTACTCGGGATGCATGTTCCCTGCTGGGGCTTTCAGTGGAGTCCCCCCTCAGTGTCAGGTACAACCCAGCCTCCTGAACACAAGGGGACAGGCAGGGAGCAGAACAATTGTGTTGACTCTACCGTGTGTTTTCACAAACCTTGAAATAGACACTGCTTGTGTTTATAGTTAAGAGTGCCCACCTCTCCTGCACACTAGGTACCCTTGGGAAACTACCCTACCCTGTTACAACCTCACCAAAACATCACCTCCTTATATGGAGTCTCGAGTGCTAAGTAACATGCTTGAGGTGCTGCTTAATGTCTACACTGCAGTGGTCTCTGCTCACTCTACAGCAGGCCCAAATTAGAAGTCCTGTTACCTGAGCTAACACCCAAGAGGATGGAGGTTTGCCTTGAGCTAACCTGCAGGGTTTCACAGGAACAAAGAGCACCTAGGCTGGCCCCAGAAACACTCTGCACCATAGTGGATAGTTGTCATACCGTCAAGAACAGGCTTCAGTCGCCTATGCTGTTGCTGTGGATTTGGCATGTCCCAGCCAGGTCACCACTGCCCCTAGAGGATGTGCTGGGGAGGGCTGCACTGTACTCACAGATGTTCCTGCCACTGGACTCCTGTTATCTTGAGATAGAACTCATTTATGGATGTCTTTGCTCACCAACTCTTACTATGTACCATGGTAACAGAGTTGGCTGAACTACAGCTCTGTAGTTTAACCCCCATTGGGAGTTTTCCACTGTCTTGGACAAGCACTTCACCTGCCCGCTGTTTTCTGTGCTGGAGCTTTTCAAATTTGGGCATCTATTAGAACAAATACAGAGCTGAACACACCTAGCTATGTATGTGGCCCTTTAGGAGCAGTCTGGGAGAAGGAGAGGGTAAGAGCACTGGCTGCTCTTGCTGCAGACCTGAGTTTGGTTCCCAGCACCCACACGGTGGCTCACAGCTCTCATTAGCTACAGTTCCAGGGGATTTGACATAACTCTTCTGGCATGTACATGGCCCACATATATGTGGGCATGCACTCCTACACATACTTTAGAATTTTGTCTCGAGTCCTATTTGGGACAGTGTCAGTCCTTTGTCTGCTGGTTCCTGTGATCCAAGCTGCTTCAGTCTCTGCTCTCTGTTCTTCAGCTTCGCTTCTGGCTGTGTGGCGCTACCAGTGCTGATGAACATCAAAGCTGTGATCGAACAGAGGCAGTGCACTGGCGTGTGGAGTCACAAGGATGAGCTGCCGGTAAGGCCAGGTGGGGAGGTACTCCAGAGGCGGGTGCTGGGGCACACAACTCAGACAGTAGGTGGTACTCTCAGCCTTTTGCTCGCCTCCTCAGATTGAGATCGAGCTGGGCATGAAGTGCTGGTATCACTCCGTGTTTGCATGCCCTATCCTGCGACAGCAGACCTCAGATTCTAACCCTCCCATCAAGCTAATCTGTGGCCATGTCATCTCCCGAGACGCACTCAACAAACTCATTAATGGAGGAAAGTAAGTTGCCCCTGCCTGGCTCCATCCTGGCCTGGCTTTCTTGGCCTGCCCTGAGATGGTCTTCCTTTGCCTTTGCTTGCAGGTTGAAGTGTCCCTACTGTCCCATGGAGCAGAATCCAGCAGATGGGAAACGTATCATATTCTGATTGTAAGGAACTTTGCGGGAAGGTGTTATCCAAGGCTTCAGTGGATTGTGGTGCCTCAGACCAGCTGAATGAGCCTGCACTTCCTTGGCTGGGAGGGGGACTGGCTGCTGTGTCTGCTGTCTTTGTTTACACTTGCCCCTGACAGTAGCAAAGGCTGTGGTTATCAAAAGCAGACATCTTTCTACTCCTGCCCTCAAACCAGGGCCAGCTCCTTCTACTGTACAGTCAACTGTATGTATCCATTCTCTACTGTAAATAGCCCATTAGAACTGAATGCTGTTTTTTAACTTTGAACAAATATATTCACAGCCCTTCTCCTTCTTGGTCAGGCTTGAGCATCACTGACAAATGACTGCTTGCTACATAAGGTACTGGGTGTGAAAACCTAGATGGCAGACCCTGGCAGGTGCTTTCCCATATACTCATGTAAGACCGTACTTCAAAGCCGTGTAAAGGGACACTGAAAGAAGATAGCTTGTAGTTTCAACCAGTTCGGGACCTCTAAGTCCAAATTCACCTGATCATTCCAGGGCGTTTGAACTAGGTTGCTGTACCCTAACCTAGGGTTCCTTTTTATAGGAAGGAACCTTAAGTTTAAAAATGCTTCAAAGTCTTGTCAAGTTGGAGAACTTGGGGTTTTGTTTTTAATTTATGTGTGGGAGTGTTTTGCTTGCACGTATGTCTGTTGCCCTCAGAGGCCAGAAAAGGACTTCAGTTTCTGGGACTGGAATTACAGAAAAGTATGAACCGCCATGTGGGTGTTGGGAACTAAACCCAGAGCCTCTGCAAGAACAGCCAGTGTTCTTAAATGCTGAGCCATCTCTCCAGCTTCCAGGGCCTAGAGTTGTGTATTTAGCTCTATTTCCAATTTACTGTATGGTGAGGCAAACTAATTCTATCAGATATGTAAGGCCGTTGGAAGTATCCCTGACACAGGGGTCACAAGCTTCTGTGAGGTGGGGCCTGGGCCCTGCTGCCTCATCTCTAAGACCCACCTGTCCTGGAGTGGGAACTGAGTCTTGGGTGGGCAGTAGAGACAGCACAGAGCATTTTCGAGGTACATTCTTAGGACTCCTGCTGAAAAGCCGCTTCCATCCTCCTGCCAACTTCTTGGCTCCATTGGCAGCTGGAGTTTAAAAAACACCCACACACTCACCACATTTTGCCTCAGCATTTACTTCCACCACACATTTTGGAACTGTCTTCATCTAAGCTCAACAGGAGATGGCTCTGATAGAAAAGATGCTGGCTCTACCTCCAAGAACAGCTGTTGGAGCTGCCTGGGAAGAAGTCCCACGTCAGGAAACCGGGGAGATGCTGTGAGGGTGGGCAGCCGCCTGCAGCCAGCCCAGCAGCTCCTGGAATAGGCTGCAGCTCCTGTCTCTTACAGAGGTGTTGGCAGGGCCTGCACCTCCTCCAGGCACTTGTCATAGGCCTCCTGATACTCCTCATGGGGCTTCACCATGATCACACAGGTGGGACGCTTAGAGCCTGTAGCTGCACCCAAGTCCTATACAAAAGAGGAGAAAAACTGTTGGGAACAGGAGCCACAAGTGACCCACCGGTCTAATGTGGTGCACATGTCCTACTGGTACACATTACGTTTAAAAGTATTTCCGAGCCGGGCGTTGGTGGCGCACGCCTTTAATCCCAGCACTCGGGAGGCAGAGGCAGGCGGATCTCTGTGAGTTCGAGGCCAGCTTGGTCTACAAAGTGAGTTCCAGGACAGCCTCCAAAGCTACAGAGAAACCCTGTCTTGAAAAACCAAAAAAAAAAAAAGTATTTCCGATTAGTTGTCACCATTTAAACTCAAACTAAGCTTTCAGGTCAAGCTCTTAAGAGTACAATCATGAGCCGGGCATTGGTGGCGCACGCCTTTAATCCCAGCACTCGGGAGGCAGAGGCAGGTGGATCTCTGTGAGTTCGAGACCAGCCTGGACTACCAACCGAGTTCCAGGACAGCCTCCAAAGCCACAGAGAAACCCTGTCTTGAAAAACCAAAAAAAAAAAAAAAAAAAAAAAAAAAGAGTACAATCATGGACGGACGCCACATCTTATAGACTCTACAAAGAATGTTCCCATCTTACAGGAAGGAGATCTGCCATGTGCCATACCCAGCTACACAGAAGGCTGTGGCAGAAGGACTGTTTGAGCTGCAGAGACTCGGGCCAGTCTGGGTGACATAAGGAGGCACCATCCCAAAAAGAAAAGAAACAAGTCACCCAGACCTGTGAATTCTAACACTTATTCCTCATATAGCCTCCAGAGGGCCAAGCTGGGAGTGGGGCAAAGTGGGCATGAGCTCCTCACCGTCTTAGAGGGGATGTAGACATAGGGCAAGTTCTGGTCCTCGCACATTACTGGTAGATGGCAGTATACCTCAATCGGCAACGTGTCTCCTGCCAAAACCATGATTCTGCAACAAGAGAAAGCATCGTCATTTCTACTTTGCTCCCTCCTCCCCTTCAGTTGTTCAGTTGTTAAGCATTACCTCCAGCTGGGCTGTGAGAGCAGAGATGAGTAAGATGCCTGGCTCCGAGGAGCCTCCAGCTTTAGAAGGGGGTGTAAAGTCGTGTTTGGCAAATGCATTTCTTCTGGGGGACATGATCTCTACTTGACAGCACATAAATACCACCAAATGTGACAAGCCGTACAATGCTGGGCCAGATGAGGTATGGGAGGAATGCCAAGAAATAGAAACTCAGCTCTTAAGAGTCAGTGATGTTCTAGAAGATGACTTGCTTTTTTGTTTTTCGAGGCAGGGTTTCTGTGTGGGATGGTCCTGGCTGTCCTGGAACTTGCTCTGTAGACCAGGCAGGCTGACCTCGAACTAACTGATATCTGCCTGCCTCTGCCTCCCAAGTGCTAGGGTTAAAGGTGTGTGCCACCACTGCCCAGCTAGGAGATGACTCTTGGACTTGAGTGCCATGAAGAGGCTCCCAGGATGGCAGGGGCAGGGACAGAATGAGGCCAAGGGAACAGAGTGATACTGAAAAGCTGGTTGCCAAGAACAAGGATTACCTTTTGCAATACATAGTAAGAGGGGCCAAAGAACAGAGCCATAGAGATTGACAGGAGTCTGCCCCAAGAGAAAGTGCCAGAGTAGCATCCTCAATTAAGTGTACTGTACAGACACACAGTTCTAAAGATTTGCCCATAGGAAGAGTGTTCTGTAAGGGTTAGTGACAGATCAAGAACCCTTGGTTTTGCCGGGCGTTGGTGGCTCACGCCTTTAATCCCAGCACTCGGGAGGCAGAGGCAGGCGGATCACTGTGAGTTCGAGACCAGCCTGGTCTACCGAGCGAGTTCCAGGACAGCCTCCAAAGCCACAGGGAAACCCTGTCTCAAAAAAAAAAACCAAAAAAAAAAAAGAACCCTTGGTTTGCTGGGCGGTGGTGGCGCATGCCTTTAATCCCAGCACTCAGGAGGAAGAGGCAGGCGGATCTCTGTGAGTTCCAGGTCAGCCTCTAAAACAATACAGAGAAACCCTGTCTCGAAAAACCAAAAAAAAAAAAAAAAAAAAAAAAAAAAAATCCTGCTTCCATACTCTGTCCCTTTGGCCCAGGGCTGGTCCCCACTGCCTGCCGCCCTCCTCTGTGGCCACCCAGACCCACAACCATGGTGCCAGGTGCTACCTGGAGTACTGGGCCTCATTTGCCCTACCAAACACAACCATCTGCCAGGAGGATAGAGAAGCAGAGCATATCCAGGACATTTTCCATATCAGCTCGGATCCCTCAGTGGACACAGCAGTCACTGCCAACCCTGGCCCCCCTAGCACAGTCAGTCCATCAAAATGGTGGAAAAAAATCAACTCTCACAAGTTGTCCTGACACCCATATAAACACCAGAGTGCACATGTATGCACACATTAATAAAGGTACCATTCAAAATGCTGAAAAGTTGTTTTAAACCACACCTAAAATGTTTTCACACAAACCTGGCTTTCCTCCACAGCCTGCAGTCACAGACTATACCCCAAACCAGCACAAGGAAGGCACAGGCTTGTCACTCTCCTCTCAATTCCTCCAACGTTCCTCTTGTCCCTCACCTCACTTGGGCTACAACAGCTTCCTAAACCTGACTCGCCTCTCCTAATTCTTCCTCAATATTACTTTTCAACATTCACTTTAACCAAACAAGCCCCACGAGGACTTGCCTCAGTTGTTCTTCCGGAGGGCCCACATTGGATTCCCAGCACCACACGGTGGTGCATAACCATCTGTAACTCCAGTCCAAGGGGATCTGACACTTTGCCCTCTCTGACCTCCCAAGGACTCCAGGGACACACAAACATACGTTTGTCTAGGCAAAACGTTCATACACAAAATAAGTCAAAAAAAAAAAAAACTAAAGGCCTTCATGAGGTGTTCAAGCACTAACCGCTCCTCTGCCTGAGTCCCTTCTATTCTCCGGATACCAACCCCCCCAATCAACATACATCCATTCTCTCCGATTTTTGTTGTTTTGAGACAGGCTATCTATACACAGTTCTGGCTGACCCAAACTCAGAGATCCACCTGCCTCTGCTTCCCAAGTGCTGAATTAAAGGCCTGTACCACCACTCCTGCTATCATTCTATCCTTTTGGTTTTTGGTGACGTTTTCATAGTCCATGCTGGCCTTAAACCTGCTATGTAGCCGAAGGCAGCCCTCATTCTCTGGCCTACTTGGGAAGATGTCTCCCTACAGCACGTTGCCTGAAGCTTTCCAGAAAAAAACTGCCAATCCACAGAATGAACGCCCAGGGAGGGATACGTGGGCTGGGTTTGCGTTCTCTCCCGTTGTTCATTGGGAGTTAGTTCCTCTAAGTGATGTGGGTGTCTGCAGTGAAGGCAGTTGACTGGGCAGTCAATTTCACCGTTACTGAGCACCTCGGTAGGTGGAATTCAATCTTAACCAACTGAAAACGCAAACTGAAGTGGCAGAGCTAATTGTCTAGCATACACAGGTTCAATCCCCAGCGCTGCAAAAAATAAATAAATAACACAAAACTTAAAAACCAGCGAAAGGATTGCTTCTTACCCTTTCTCGCCCTTGTTGACAAATTTCTGAACCTCTTTCACACCACGCCGAATCTGCTTCTGCTTGACGGCTGCAAAGACAAGGGTGAGCCGCTTACTTCGTCCCGCCCGTGCCCGCCCGCCCGCCTGCCCGCCTGCCCCGCGTTTTCCACGCGCCCTCCCACCTCACCCTTCTTGATGCACTTGTAGAGCTTGCGCGTCAGGCGGCGGGACGCCAGCGGCTGCGCGATGGGGTTTAGGTTGACCAGCAGCTCTTCGTACGTGCGCTCCTCGCTGCAGCCCTCCGCCTGCGCC